TCTCCTCTCCCTCTCTCTTCCTCCCTCCCTCTCCCCCGTCTCTCTCCCTTTCTTCCTCTCCTCTCCCTCTCTCTTCCTCCCTCCCTCCCTCCCTCCCTCTTTCTCTCCCACCCTCCCTCTCCTCTCCTCTCTTTCCTCTCCTCTCCCTCTCCCTTCCTCCCTCCCTCTCCCTCCCCCCTCTCTCTCCCTCTCCCTCCCTCTCCCTCCCCCACTCTCCCTCTTCCTCCCTCTCTCTCCCTCTCCCTCTCTCTCTCTCTCTCTCTCTCTCCATCCCAGGCGTACCACCTGCTCTGAGTGCCTCTCCAATTCCAGCCAATGTGCCTGGTGCCAATCCACCCGGAACTGCTTCTACTTTGCAGCCTACCTGGCTAAATACCCCTATGGGGATTGTCGTGGGTGGTATGACAGGTAGGTTGGAGACAGCTGGTCCAAAGCAAAGGGGTGGGGGCGGGGGGGGGCAAGAAGTCGTGTTCCTTTCCTCCCTTAAGCGCATATTTAAAGAGGTTTTCTTCTCCGGCCACAGAGCAGGCATCTCTTAAACCAGAGCTCTCCAAACTTGGCAACTTTCAGATTTGTGGATTTCAACTCCCAGAATTCTGGGAGTTGGTCCATGTGATGACACGGGGCGTGGCACAAAGGCAACACAGTCAGATAAGCAATAGGAGTCCCTTTATTATGTCCAACTTTGCCCCCAACGTCCAGGTTACCTTCTGGCTGGAGGAAAAACTCTCCAGCCAGAAGCAGTTGACTGCAGAGAATTAAGTCCAAAACATAGTCAACACAAACTGTAATTTAAAGTCCAAACAAGCCAAACTGAAGTAATGGAAGCAAGAATTCCAGGCTTGAAGGCACAGCAAAACTCACATGGTTGGGAAGATGCCAGGAATACAGATAAGCCACGTCAACACAGGATAAAGTCATGTTTGCTCCAAGCAGCCTGTCGCACGCAGCCTGACTTTCTTATCAACTGTCTTCCCAGCTGTGACTAAGGAAGGGAATCAGGGCCCCTTCCTTCCCCGTAAGCCATGCAACCCATGTTGCTCTCTTCTCCGTTCCTCCCTGCGTGC